TTTCCCTAAACCCAAGATACCTCATTCTCGCCAAGGCCAGAGGCCCTGGATCCCCAGACTGATAACAGAGGTGGTAGGTTTTATTTAGCACACTGGGTTGGACTCACATAATTACTTAATTGATTTTGCTTTAAAATAGAGTTGGCCAGGAACACCTACAGGATTTATTTTTGCTCTCACTGCTTAATAAAGCCCTGGAACACAAAGGGAAAGTGATGAGAGGACAGCCTGGAGTCACCTGGGCCTGGACTCCCCCAGGTCCCAACCAATGGTGTGGCTGCTATGGTGCACATTGGTGATGGTGGCAGGGTGCTGCTGTGGCATCAAGTAATTAATTTCCTGAGCACAACTAGAGTGGAAAGATTGATATATGTCTCCTTCCCAGCAGAGTCTCATGCCTGATGGCCTGTCAAGAAGTGAAAGAAGTTACCTGACAGGGAGGTCCTAGCTACTCTGGGGCATTTGCATTCAGACTGGTCTGGGGTGGGGGGTTGATTCTGTCTAGCTACAGCTGGCTGAGACATATGGAGAGGGAAGTCATGATGGAGGAAGGAGAGAGTGGAAGGGAGAGGAAGAAAGGGGAGAAAAAAGGAGAGGAAGAAGGAAAGGGAGAGGAAGGGAGCAAGTTCCTCACTGGGTGGCTTGGCCTTGGTTGATTACTCTGCAATGCTGAGATGGGATTGGTTGTACCTGTCTGTACTTTCCAAATTCAAGTCACATTTCCTCTGGATTTTCAAAGGCTCAGGACATAAAGGTCACCTTAGTGACTTGGACTTCAGAGTCTACTTCACTCTGATCTATAGGGACTCCATAATGCTCCCTTTCCTCTCTACTCACCAACTCCACTTCTCTTCAACCTCTTCTGCCAGGACTGATGTGAAGCCCAACCACCAATTATTCAGACAGCTTGCCAGTGAGTGGGGCCCTGTAGTCCCTTGGGTTTTGCAATCTTCCTAGAACAGGGATAGAGGAGGGCCTGGGCTGAGTTTGAAAGTGAGAGTCAGGGATATGGAGATGGAAGACACCAGTGTCCCCTATCCCTTCTGAGTGGCCCTGCCTCAAGAAACTATAAAAGTATCTAGCACCCCATTGACTTCCCTGCTCAGGCTGAACCTACTAGCTTCTCTCAACTGTAGCTGTGCCTCAGTACATAATGCCATGGGCTTCCCAAGAGCCTATCCCATGACAGCCTGCAAAAGCACACAGGTGTCTGGTAGCTCTAGCTAACCCCTCCCCACTCCCACCAGATATCACCAACTTCTACAGATTCCTGCGGGACTCTGGCTATAATCCATGACTTCTTACCACACATCTTTCTGCTCTCCATCCACCATTTCTCATTTCCTTATCTGGAGCAGACAGCTTAACTCATGTGAACCCCACAAAGCACTGAGAAAGACTGCTGGCTGGCCATGACCCCAAATTGGCTGGTACATGGCATGGGCTATGAAGTATTACCTGCTCCTCGAAACCATACCATTCAGTGGGGGATTCTGTGCTATCTCAGTCTGAAGCACTTGCCCCCACCCCCACATTACTGAGAAGTATCCAGTGGCAGGGAATTGGTATTTATCTTGCATCCCTTGTGCTGGGAACACAGCAAATGCCTAATCAAAGCTTTGCGACTTAATGAGAGTCTGTATCATTTCCCCTAGTCTGCTTCATCCTTCACTTCAGCCTTCTTCAGTCAAGATATGGAGTTGCAGGACTACTTCAATGTGAAAAGAGCTCAATTTCACCAGTAACTGTACCTCCAGATCTCCAGAAAACCACTGCTTCATTCCCGCTTCTATCAAATAGCTAAGAGATGTTTACAGAACTGAATGTAAAAAGCTACTGGGCTAGAGATGAAATTTTTCTAAAAAATTTTGAGTAAACTGATACATATTATTTCTCCCCAAAATGCCCAGAGCCTCCATGGACACCAAACACCCCTTACTCACTACCCACCCAGAGCCACAAGGTCTCCATATCCCCACCCCTGTCCAATCCCTTCGTAGTGCTGTCCACTCTGAGGAGCAGCAGATGAGCAACTGCTGTAGAGATCTCGACAGAGGGGCCGATTCTGGCCAAGGGCTGAGAAGAGGTTGCAGAAGCTGCACTTACTGCATCTGTTTCTCCAACTGCCACCTGCTCGGAAAATCGAACCTTCACAGGATTGGATCTTAGCTTGGCCTTCTTTGCAGCACTGATGAAGGCAGATTTCGGGGACTGGAAAAAAGAAGAGGGCTGGTGAGTTCTCCATCTCTGGGAAAAATCTGACCTTTGCCACACTGGAGTTAAGATGTCTCAGTATGGGCACACTTTCCATTACTGATCAATAAGTCAATAAACAAGTATATGATCCCTTACTAGGTGCAAGGTAATGTGCTAAATGCTTCTTTATACGATTGGTTTGTTCTGAAAAAGGTGGGCATGAATCAAATTTGGGTAAATTGAATGCTATTGTTAATGTTCTAGGCTTAAGGGGGCTTGCAAAAATTCTCTAGTAGTAACATACACTGAATTTTCATATATTTGATTTTCTTAATTTGAGATATACCTAAATGATGGTTTTTATTACATCTGAATACAAGCATCTCAAAGAACTTACAGAAATAATCTTATTCATCTCACAGCTATGCCCCTTAGGAAGATGGCTCATAGAAAATATTATTTCAGATGTGGGAGTAAAGGGGCCTAGCACTCTAAAATGATTTGTCCACAATTTCTACACTATTCAGGAACAGAGATGGTGGAGATTTTACTTAGGTGTCCTGGCTTTCTAATTCTGGGCTTGCTATCACTTTGTTCATCCAATTCTATAAGTAATGCCCTAGAGGTTATTATGCTGAATGAAATAAGTCAGGCAGAGAAAGATAAATACCATATGATTTCACTTATATGTGGAATCTAAAGAACAAAAAAGACAAACTAATCAAAAACAGACTCACAAATACAGAAGACAATCTGGTGATGCTAAAGGGGAGGGGTTGGGGGGCCTGGGAGAATGAGGTGAAGGGTTAAAGAAGTACAAATTAGTAGTTGATAGATGGTCATGGAGATGGGGAACATGACATATGGAATGCAGTTAGCATTAATGTAATGGCTAGATGGAAAGCCAGAGAAGAGAAGGAGCAATTAGGGGGATCGTTTTATAAACTATATAAATATCTAACCGATGTACTGTATACTTGGAATTAATAAAATACAGCAGGACACATGGTTAGCAAATGCTGAAACTAAGTCTTTCCTGGGTGTTCCTTGAGGGATTCAGCAGTGAATAAGACAGTCCAAACTCCCTGTCCTCAAGGAGTATCCATTCTAGGAGGGAAAGACAGATAATAAATATCTTTTAGGTAGCAAATAAGGACAATGAGGACAAACTGAGCAGAGTAAGGGACTACACAAGAGAATGAGCGAGTGAGGGTAGAAGTGATGGGGGTGTTATTTTAGACAAGATGGTCATGGAAGACCTCTTCAAGGAGGTGACATTTAAGAGGAGACCTAAAAGAAGTGGAGGAGAGAAGCCATGAAAGATACCTGGAGAAAGAGCCTTCTAGGCAGAAAGAACAATGAAGGCTCTGAAGTGAGAGTAGGAGTGGGATGCATGAAGGATAGCAAGAAAGCCCAGTGTGGCCACAGCAGAATGATTGAAGGAGAGGCCAGAGGGGTCCTGCTTAGAGAGATAGCTTGGTGCTGGATCACGTAGGGCCCTATAAACCATGTAAACAGTTTTGGATTTTACTCCACTGGATGGTTTTGGGCAGACAGGGTCTGACTTGCATTTTAAAAGGATGCTTCTGGCTGCTGTGTGGAAAATAGTCTAGGAGTGTTATGGCCAAAGTAGGGAGTCCAATCAGGAATGTACTAAAATAATACAGTTAAAATATGATAGTGGCTTGGGCTAGGATGGTAATAAAGGAGATGATGAAAAGTGAGTGAATTCTTAATATATTCCGAAGATAGAACCAAGATAATATGTTGACAGAATGGATGTGGGAGGTGAGAGGAGTCAACAGGTAAAATGGAGTTGCCATTTTCTGAGATGAGGAAGACTGAAGGAAATCAGGTTTGGGGCTCCTTCAAACTGCCTCCCCTACCAGCCTTCCCATGGAGCCCACAATCCAGAATTTCTTTGTGTAAAGGCTCAGAAGGCCATACATTAAACTATTTTCTGCCATTAATGCTGTGGTTGAGATTCATTTACCACATCAGCCATAGGAGGGCAGGGCCCTAAGATAAAGACACACCAGAAACTAACTTCCTCATAAGGTCTGGGTCCCTGGTCCCAGCTGTGTCCTCTTCCTGAGCCGGCAATCTCCCTTCCCACAGAGAGCACATTACAGAAAGCCACTTGTTCAACCAGAGTCCAGCAGAACCTCAGGTAGTGGGTCTCGGTCTTGCCTACATGGCAAAAAACCAAACCAAACCAAACCAAACCAAAACAAAACAAAAAAAAACTGAAGGAGCTTTTAAAACCTGATGTCCAAACCCCACCCCAGACCAATTTCATGGAATTCCTGGGGATGTGGCCCAGGTATTGGTATTTTTTAAAAAGCTTCTGATGATTTAAAAATGCAGCTAAGGTTGGGAACCCCTAAGCTAAAGGGACCTTAGACTTCTCATTCTGTGCCATGGGGACATTTTGTTGGCAGCAGACAATACAGCACAGCAAAATCTAGGGCTAGAGATCACTGCAGAACTGCAGAAAGCAATTACACTTTTGATTGTTCATGGGAGTCAAGAAATGACTTTGCATGTTGCACAGCTTGGTGCTCAGATCTTGGGCGAGGGGCTGGAGGCTGTGGTAGGAGCAAAAAAAAAAGGGGGCAAGAGAGAACGATCTGTAGCTATGTTCAGGCAGCTCTGCTGACGCCATCTCCACAGTAGTCCAAATTTCCACTTGAGGTGCCACAGACATGAGGCAGGCGAAATCTTCGTTTTACCTGACAGACACCCTCTCCTTTCTCTGTGATCATCTGTCATCAGATGCCCTCATGCACAGTGTGGAACAAAGCATCGCTAAAGACCTAAATGAGCCATGCAGTCCACCCTTCATTTTTACATGTGAAATGGAGGCTTGGGAAGAGGATATGGTTTACTTAAAATATCAAAATAATTTTGTAGTGGAGCTGAAACTAGAACCCAGATGTCCTGAGTCTTGGATTGGTGATTGTTCCCCATGGCAGGCTAAAGCTGAAAGTCCATTCCTGACTTTTCATCACTGATTCTGGTTCTACCTTGGCCCTCTTGAATGGATTCCAACATATAAAGAACCCCAACTGGTATCCTTTTATGTATTCACCTGTGGGGAGGGGACAGTCTCCTTGCTATCCCTACTAAAAGTCTAATATTAGATGCTATCCTAGAGATACCACTACAAATAAGATTCAGCTATTTATAGGAGCAAAATCATGAAAGAGTACATGAAACTGCCAATATTTTCAGGAATTATAATAATTTTTTATGTCTGTTGTAGAGCTATTTTCAGCTTGTTTGTGTCGTATTCCTCATTACCCTTGTCCTGTTGGTCGCTAAAACTCCATCCTATTCTCAGTCTTTGGCTTTGATCATTGATGGTGACTCACTCATTGCCAGCTGGTCTCTGCTACATGTCACAGAGTCATATCTAGCCTTATGCTTCGATACAGGTGACACCTGTTTTGCAGTATGGATATGAGGGGCTCTCAAAGGTCACCTTGTCCCAAAGCATCTTCAAAGTTCAGCTATTGGTCCTGAAGTTTTTTAATACTCAGGTCACTCATTTCAATTAAAATATTGAGAATTGGGAAGGCCCTGGTCAAGACGTGAATGTGTTACCAGAGCGAAGTAATGAACATAATTCAGGGGCCAGCAGACCATGGGCCTGCATGGGCCAAATCTTCCATGCCACCAGTTTTTATAAAAAAAAAAACTTTATCGCAACACAGCCATGCTCTTTATTTATATATCGCCTTTGGCTGCTTTTATGCTATCACTTATGGCCTACAGAGCTTAAAATATTTACTATATGACTCTTTATAGAAAAAGTTTGCTGACCCCTGCACTAATTCATTAGCTGTTTCTAAAACTTTCCTGATGATAAGAATTACTGGGAAGTGTTTGTTAAAACACAGATTCCTAGGCCCATACCAGACTTAAAAAGTCAATCTCTGAGGGAATGGGGCCCAGGAATTTATGTTGTTGAAAATGTCCTAACCCATTAACCATAGATTAAGTACCTTAAAGCTGGGACATCTGAGCTCTTCATTGACCCATTTTTCCTTCAAGCAGCTGTGAGTCTCATTTTGCAATAGGCCTCCTTTCTGGCTAAAATGAATTTTGGCTTAAAACACAGAACTAGAATTGCTAAGTACCTCCGGAGCCACTGCAAGCCCCTTGAAGCAAATATAAAGCCAGCAGCTCAGTGGAATAAACAATAGAGGAGAGAGCCTTCCTCTCCCTCAGGATTGATTTCAGCATCTAGTAATTCTCTGGCCATTTTTAAATTTGGTGGCTCTATAAGTACAGATTTTAGGATTGTGTTCACTCATATCTTGGCCAAAGTCAGGTATATGGCCATACATTTTAATGCATGATAGTGCCCTACTTTGATAACTATGAAAGGATTTGAAGAGGATAGAGCTCAGGTTTCTGAAGCTTTTACAGCATCCTGATTCTCTTTTCTGCTGGCTCACTATCTTTGACATCTGAGCCTACTTACAAGCAAACTCACAGCAACCACTGTGGGAGCCTGGGGCAATGGAGGGTCATCCTGGTTTCATGGACCCACTGATAATAGACCCAGGGGGCCTTCCTTCCTTCACTCAGGACCACTGGGAGGTGAGCATGTCCTCTCCTCGGCTTCTGAGGCCCGACACAAGCCATACATGACCCTCACTCCGCATCTAATGGCTAGTCACGTGGTTCTTCCCACAGCTCCCTGGACACACTGGGCTTCTTCCCATTTCTGTGCCTACTTCATACTGTTTCTTTACCACTCCTGCCCTTCAGGGCCTCCGGTGTCCCTTTTGCTCAGCTAAATGACACCTCTAAACTCCAGTTCAAATTCTACCTTGGTCCTGAATCCTTCTCCAACTTCTCCATTCTCCTTCCTGGATTTCCTATAGTACTCCTTGTTAATCTATCTACATAGCCATTGCTCCTGTTCCCAACCAGGTTATAAAAGAGATGACATTTTATATTACTACATCTCCCCCTAGCACCAAGCATAGAGTAGCGCAGGAAAAAAAAAAAAGATAGTAGTTGATTGCTAAGGTTAATAATGAATTACTTAATCAGTTCAGCAAATATTGTTTGAGTACCTACCATCTGCCAAACACTATATTTCAAGAAGCTCTGTGGAAAAACAGTTCTGCAATGGTTTTCATTATTTTGGCTTTTTTTTTTTTCTGGCCAGGTGGCTCCAAGCAAAGGGGATTCAGGCTCATTGGGTACAGGCTAAGTTTTCAGAACCAGAAAATTAGAGTTTCATTTGAAGGGACTGTCTACTTGCTGTACCATTATAGGTCACAATCCATTACTTTATCTATTTTAAAATATTTTTTGAGGACATACTATGTGCCAAGGTCTAAAGGTACCAAAAATAATACATAGTCAATCATGGGGAATAGTTGGTCACTCAAAGATTAAAGAACACCCTTAAATACATATGGGCTTAATAAGTGGCTATTTATGCAGAGGCTCTGAGAAAAGACTCCTGTGACTGTCAAAAATACACCCAAATAGTCTGCCATGGTTAAGAGTCACTCCATTAGAAAGAAAATGTCATCTGAAAGAGACTACATATTAGACCAGCAGCTCCTGATATGTACCTTGGCTACATATCTGAATCATTTGAGGAGACTTTTCAAAAGACCAGTACCTGGGCTCCATCCCCAGGGCTTCTAATTCAATCAGTCAGGGCTAGAGCCCAAGTAAGAGCTTCTCAGGTGGTTCTAATGCATAGCTTGAGTTGAGAACCACTGTATCAGACCATTATCAGTCAAGGAATGCAGGAGGTAGCAGGAGCCTTAGAGATTGTCTGGTCCAATGTTTCCCAGATTCTACTAAGCATCAGATTTACTTGTGGCTCCTATTAAAAATACAGATTCTTGGGCCACATCCTGGACCTCTTAGGAGATAGTCTTCTGGAAGAAGACTGCTGCCTCTTACTAAATCCTCATAATGTTCCTCATAATAAAATCCTCTTAAAGCTTAATCACCACTTCTTCCAGGAGAAAACAAGGTTCTGAAGTATTAAGTGATTTGCCTGAGGCTGCCCCACTAGCAGGGGCCAGAGTTGGGATTCAAATCCCATCCAACTGTCTCTAGAGCCAGAGCTTCCTGCACTACACTGCACTGCCCTCTACGATTGCTAAACTTTGGTTATCTCTGTATGACAGCTGAAACAAAAAGACAGAGTATGTTGCCTTGTTTGACCTCAGCTGGGAACATGTGCATTGGAAAACTCAAAATTTTCATGCTCTGCACATGTCCACAAATGACCAGGAAAGCATTGTGAGTATTAATTTTGTAGTTACAAGTCTATTTTAGGAAATAGGCGAATTTGCAAACATGGAATCTGTAAATAATGAGAATCGACTCTACATGTATGCAAAGTTGACATTCAGTCGGGATGCACTGGTATGGCCTCACCTGTTGTAAAATATTGAGGGATTCTTTCATACTGATTAGTAAGTGGCCACTGCCCTAAGCTTCCTGGGTGCCACATGACATCTCCCCTGGGACCTCTATATAAACAATCAGCTAAAGGGTTAACATCTGGCACAGTCAGGAGGCCTCCAAGACTCTGCTCCAGTGCCTATGGTTGGCTTATATTCTGATTGGATGGTCCCTATTGTACAGGTTGATTGGATGGTCCCTATTGTACAGGTTGCTAATTGTTTTGACTATAATCCCTGTGTATGTGTTCCCCTATTTGTATGCTCCATGGGTTTAGAGAAGATAAAGCCAAGGACTAGAATGTAAGCTCTCTGAGGGCAGAAACCTTATCTGTCCCATGCACTGCTATATTCCCAGCCTGGAAGAGCACCTGGAATAGTAGGCACTCAGTTAATTCTTTGATGAAGAATTAATTAATTAGAAATTCTCACTGAGGTTGGTCAGGCAAAGTTGTTTGGAAGACATGAGTCCCAAGCCAAGTCTTAATAGCCACCTATTAGAAGAGATGTAGACTAGTACAGGAACAGAAATTCGCAGGGCAGTAAGGACTAAGAAATGTATAAGGAGAAGGAAAGTAGCCTGGCCATAGTACAAAGGCTATTGGATGGGACAGTGGGGGCATCAGAACTGGGGGCAAAGGGGTGTTGGAGGCACTGGGATGAGAGTTGGGACAAAGACGAACACTTGAATTTAGTTTAGTTCAGGTTGCTGTAAAGGCTAGAAGTTGGATTTCCTTCATTGCTTCAACAAATATTTATTGAGTATCTACTCTGTGCCAGGTGCTGTTCCAGGCACTAAGGATACAGCAATGAACAAAACAACTGTCTCTCCCCAAGTGGAGTTGAAATTCAAATAAGGGAGAAAGACAATAAATACATTCAAATATAACATTTCATGAGAACGTAAAATGTTACAGCCACTCTGGAAAATAGTCTGGCAGTTCCTTTAATAAACTATATATACATTTAATGTATAACTGAACAATGGTATTTTTGGGCATTTGTCCCAGAGAAACGAAAACTCGTGTTCACAAAAACCATGCACAGGAATGTTTCTAGCAGCTTTATTCACACCAGCTAAAACCTAGAAACAACCCAGAAGTCCTTTAACGGGTGGATGACTAAACAAACTGTGGTACATCCACAGTATGGAATGCCATGGAATACTACTCAGCCAAAAAAAAAAAAAGGGAATAAATTAATAATACGCAACAATTTGAGTGAATCTCAAGGGTATTATGCTGAGTGAAAAAAAGTGAATCCCAAAAGGTTACATACTATATTATTCCATTTATATAATATTCTTGAAATGATGAAATTACAGAAACTGTAGAACAGATTAGTGGTTGACAAAAATTGGAGGGTGGGGAGGAGGTGGGTGGACATATAAAAGGGCAACACGAGAGCTCTTTTTAGTTAAATAACTGACCAGTGTCTTGACTGTGTTGGTGGATACATGAACCTATGCATGTGACAGACTGACATTGAACCATAACTACACATTGTATTGCTATCCTGGCTTTGGCTTAGTTTTGATATTGTACTGTAGTTATGTAAGATGTAGCCATAGGGTTAAGGGTACACAGGGATGTCTCCACTAGCTTTGCGACTTCCTGTGATTCTACAATTACTTCCAAAAAAAGTTAAAAATATATAATATTTCAGTTATGATAGAAAATTAAGAAGTATCAGGAGATAGTAACAGGCAGATGCTGTCTTAGAAAGGGTAGTCAATGAAGGCTTCTACAAGGGGGTGATATTTGAGGAGATCTGACTAACATAGTAACCCACAATGGGTCTCTGATCAGAGCAGTCCATTCTAACCACACAACAAGCATGTTTTCAGGGGAGAATTGGTAGCCATTTTCGTGGCAGGAGATTGGGGAGTGGGGATCAACTTCCCACTGCCCACTAGGCAACTGCATATGTGCAGTAAGGTGGGGAGGGAGGGGCCTATTGATAATACCCACTGAGAGGTGGGGCTTCCCTGCCCAGAGACAGAGAACTGTGATTGAGAAAGGTCTAGCTGCCAGGAAATGTGTGTGTGTGTGTGTGTGTGTGTGTGTGTGTGTGTGTGTGTGTGTGTGTGAGAGAGAGAGAGAGAGAGAGAGAGAGAGAGAGAGAGAGAGAGGGGGAGAGAGTCAAATGGAGAACTTACTCGCATTTCAGTGACCACACAGGATACTTGAAAGAGTTTTAGAGAGAGAGAGAGAGAGAGAGAGAGAGAGAGAGAGCGAGAGAGCACGCACACGTGTGTGTGCTTCATACTGACAGAGAAGAAAGCTGGGATCATGGAGAGAGATAGTTAGTGCCAGAGTTCGAGTTAAACTTTGTCCCCCTAACTCACACCTGTGCACTGTCCCTGGCTTTGCACAGAAATGTCATATCTTTCTGGGAAATCTTTCAGTTCTTCTCTGCCTGGGAAATCCTGCCCCATCCTTGAAGGTCCAGCTCAGGTGCATTTTCATCCATGAAGCCTCCCTTGATTTCATGCTCCCCGCCCCAACAAATATGACCTCCCCTGTGGCTTTGAGATGGTGGTGGAACATCAGTGCTGGTACAGGGGAGTGTTGGGGACACAGGGAACAGACAACCAGGCTGGAGATGGAAGGAGAGCTCAGATTTTGTACATGGAAGTTTTGTACCTGGATTTGTGCATTTGAGTCAAAATTACTGTAATTGTACGACCTAGTAATGGACACTGAGCCTTCTGAATCCAACTCTTGAGGAGAGGGTCCGGGGATTTTTACTTTTAATACGTAGTCCTGGTACTATGATCGGGCAAGTTTGGGAAATACTGTTCTAGTCTAAACCCTCAATTTACAGAAGAGGAAACAGGTTCATAAAAAGTAACTGAACTTTTAACTGGTCATACAGCCAGTCAATGACTGAACCAGGATAAATGTCAACCTGTTTGTCTAACTATGCCTCCCCAGCAATTTTATGTTAAATCCTTTCCCGCCAATGTTGAGTCTCAAATATTGCAGGCCATTTAGTAAATACTTATATGAATGAATAAATAAGAGTAGCACCCACCATCTGCAAGGACTTTATGGGAGTTAAACACCGGGCAGATAAATTTTGATGGGACCCAGCAAAAAAGATGTAGAAAATATGTCTGGAACTGTGGCATTGGCCAGCTTAACTGGGGTAAGCAGAGGGCACAGGACAGAATATAGCACTGTATAGCCCTTAAAAATCCTCAAGCCTTAGATATGAGAGTAGACAAGATGTTCAAAAGGTATGCTTTAAGTTCACACCGAAATCCTTGGCTCGCAAAATGTTGGTCCTAGTCTTTCCTCCCACCTTCTCTGCCATCACTGTCACTTTCTGATATGAGGTCCTCTTGTCTCAGTCAGGAGAAAAGGCAGATGGCAAAGAGGCTAACTCACCTGATGAGTGTGCAGAACTGTAAGAACGATGAATTCCTTAGCGGTCCTACAGAGAGAAGAGGGAACAGGAGAGTAGTGTATCATGCACTAGGTATTTGTCTAGCACAAGAAGGAACACCAGAATTTTCCTTTGGGCTGCATTCAGGTATATGGATTAGTATAGAGGGCAATCTGAGTATCTGCATGGGTGCCTTGCCTCCCATCATTTGTAGTAGCCAACATAAGCCATCCGTATAGGTTCACAAAGGCATCTGAAGACGGTATTACCGTTATCTCTGAGGTTATAATTTTTCAGGTCTTCTTTTTATCTTCCTTCTCACATTCCCTGTAGAAATCCCCAAACCTTAGGAACAATTTTATCTGTAGACTAGAAAATTCTCAAGGAAAACTAAAAGCCTGAATTATGGAACTCAAAGAGCACACAGTCAGAGTCTTGGGAACCATGTACCATGATTATTGGCATTTTGATATTTAACAAAAGGAGAAATTCAAAGGAAAAACCCAAAGGAGGTCATTTGGTCATCATGACTCATACTCAGCAGATTTGTTTTAATTGAAGGACCAAAATATGAGAGCCAGGGAGCCACAGATGGAAGCCAAGACTCTCCAGATAGCAAATATTCAAAAGGATGAAGAATTTGAAACTCTTCTGACAAGAATTATGCCGATGATCAAACAGGATGTGAGGTATAAACATTTTCTCCCAGGAACAGATAATACTTTTAAAGAACTGAAAGTACTGGAAAGAGTTTGCCTTGAAGGAGTGTCCCTTTTCCTTGCTGGCCTTTTTAAAATGTTTCTTGGAACAAAGGTATTCAAGAAGCAGAGTCAACTTGCCCTTGGTTCTGGGCATTCAAGAAAGGCTAAGGTCCCCTGCTTAAGTACTTGGGACATTACCCATATTCAACATGGCAAAGTTCAGGGATGAATCAGCTCCCGGGTCTGGGAAGCTCCCAGGAGAAGAAAGTTGTGTTCCAGGAAAAACATCACAGGAAAACCTGTCTCTTGAACAGGGCAGGGGCATAGTGTAAGTTGGATTATGTAACTCTCTGCTCTGGCCCCTACCATGTCTCCCCATTTCATGTAGAACAAAACCAAAGTTCTTACAGTGGCTACAACTCTACCCGTCCCTTACCCCACTCCACACATTGGCTTGTCTCCTATTCTCCAAACATGCCATACACATTCCTGTCTTAGGGCCTTTTCCCTTACTCTTCTTTCTTTCTCCAACAACCTCACCTCCTTTGTCTTTCTTCAAATGTCACCTTCTCAATGACGCTGACACTGACCATGCTATTTAAAGTTGCATTCTGCACCCCTGTGCCCAGTACTCCTGACCTTCTTTATTCTGATCCACTTTCTATTCTTTGATAACATCCATTGACTTCTAGTATACTGTATGATTACTTATTTATCATGTTTATTGCTTATAGTGTGTCTCCTTCCACTAGAATGTAAACTCCAATGCACAAGTTTTTGGTCTGCCTTATTCACTCCTGTATATTCAGTGCCTAGAACCGTGTCTGGTGCACAGTAGATAATAATAGATATTTCTTGAACGAATGAAAGAATGAATGAATGATCCACTAACCCCTGAGGTTATCAAATGAGTGAGCTCCGTTTTGACCCTGAAGAAGTTCTGGACTCCCTCACAAAATTGGGCTACCTTGTTCCAGGGTACAAAGATAACTACTGGAAGCAAAGCAAAAACTTCTGAGGGGCTGGGGCTGAAAGAACCACAACCTGCCCGGATGGGGTTGAGAGAACTCACCTTATACTGGTGTGGTGGTAGAGGTAGAGAAAGAACTTGCAGAAGAGACAAACTAAAGGTCATTAGGGACCAGACACATTCCAAGATATTGAGCTGGACGTGGAGCATGTCAAGGAAAACCTGCTCTAGACTTCAGGAGGGAGCATTCCAAACCCCTCCAGAGCTAGAGAGAGGGTGCTGTTCCATACACAGAGTGCTAAGTCTGCCTTTGAAGAAGAGGCGGGAGGTTGGGAGCAAGTGGGATTTGGGAGAACAAAAAAGATGAATGGGATGAAAACACTCTGAACCAACAGTGGTTGAAAGAGATGGTGGCAGAGATGGAGCAGACTACATGAGGCAGAGAAAGACAGAGAGAACATGGTTCCATTTGGGGAGAGATAGCCAAGGTCTCCAAAACTGAGGTTAGCTCATGGAATTTAGAACCTTCACCTCTATCCTCTCATTATTAACAAGTCAGTGTGGGTGTGTGGGTGGTACGTATGTGTGCATGTGGTGCAGTATGAGGTAGGGGAGTGTGCATGGTGTATGTGTGAGCATGTTGCACACATGCGTATGGAATGTGTATAGTATATGGTGTGTGGGGTGTGTGGTGTATGGTGGCATGGTATATGTATGTGCAAGGTGTGTGTGTTGTGTGCAGTGTGCATGTGTGTGGTGGTATGTGATATGTAGTGGAATGGTGTGTGTGTATGTGTAGTGTGTGGTGTACATGGTGTGTGTATGTATGTGGTATATGATGGCATGGTGTGAATCTGTGTGGTGTGTATGTACTATGTGATGGTATGGTGTGTGTGTTGTATGTGGTATGTGGTATTCGTGGTATGTGTGTGTATGGTATGTGTGTGGTAGCTAGTGGCATGGTTTACGTTGGGGTAAGAGGGGGAAATCATTGTAGTTATTCCCATGTACAGATGGTGGTGGTCCTGACACTCCTCTCACCTGCTCCCAGCCATGCAGGGCATGGACAGGTCACATACACTGTGAGCAAAATACACAATAGCAGGTTCCCTTCCTCAACCCACTGGCCAGAGATCTGGATTTTCTTCTTCTTATTTTTCTTGTCGGGCGTAGGGCGGGGGGAACAATGTCTTCCTCATATTGTGCTTATCTCAGAGTGTTCTTTTAATGGCATATTTGGTTCTCATTGGTCACCTGGTCTGCCCCACTGCACAGTAAAAAAACCAAGGGACTCGAATGATGGGAGTGGCTGGGTGGAGGGAGTGAGGTGAGCTCTGGCAGGAGGCTGTTCTTTGTGTTTGCTCACATCACCAGAGAAAGCTAAGCCAGAGTGTGTGAGGACCACTGGGGCTCCAGAAGGGCTGGCCACTGAAGTCCTGCATAGCCAGGAGCACTGGCTAGGGCTGCTGTTCCTGGGAGGGTTCCTTTATCAGAGCCAGCGAGGACTGTGGTAGCCCTATGCCACTAGTGAGGCAAGGTAGGGGGCAGTGCTCAGCTCCTGCCAAGGCCCAGAAGGCCTCTGTTACCTGATGAGTTCTATGAACCTCTCCCTGGGGGCTTCACTCACGTCCTCCTCATTAATAGCCACAATCTGGTCACCAGCCAGGAGCTTGTCCTCAGAGGGGCCTCCTGCAGAGGAGAGGAGAGAAGAGTGAGGGCTTGGGCCCACTGCTGGGAAAGGGCAGGTCTGGGCAGGAGTCACCAGTATTTGAGGGAACTGAAGCAGATGCTGAGGCCTACAGGAGATGGTGCAGGCTGTGTGGTTCCAGTGGTGGGGGTTCTGCGTCACTGCTGCCTGTGGCAGATGGAGGGCAGAGGACTGAAGAAAGAGAATAGAGTGGACCTTCTTCAGCTGGGAGTGGTGTGGTAGCAAAGGCCTCAGATGAGGTTAATGAGTGTTCTCCTGGTTTGGTTATAAAGAGGAACACAGACTTTCATTTCACCAGGTGGCATCTGCTCAGGCCCAAGGAATGACTTCCAGATTACTAGAGGTGGTACAGGTGACAGGAGGAATCTTCTTACTTGAACATTATTCATACTTACTGCTCTGGAATGATTTAGGCATTCACTTGCCTGGGGTCAGGGGGATCAACTAAAGACCCAAAGGGTTTATTTTGTTTCAACTCTGAAGGGTGCTCTTCTCTCATAAGTGAAGGAAAAAAGGCACAGACCCTAAATTATGGGCAATTGGAAATCTGATTTCTCTCCTTCCCATCTTTACTGTTGAGGTTATGAAAGCAGACCTGTTTGAGGGACGTACCTTCTTGGTTGAGGTAGAGGGTGGGGATAGAGAACAGGCAGTGCTGCCTCTGGTGTTTTGCAAAGATCTTCTTGGGGAAAAGCTTTTTAGAGATTCAGGAAGAATGAGAAGTCAGAGTCGGCCTCACTCACCCCCCCCTAAAAAAAATGTTTAATGACATGTCCCAAACTCACACCTCCTTGGACTCTTATTTGTGTCCACTTTAAAGTGCCAGATCCTAACTGCTCCCTCTCTCTAGAAAGAAGTGTGCTGTGCAAATTCCAAAAACATAAACAAAAATCAAGCAATTATATTGTTTGAGCACACAGCTCAATGGCTCTGGAGCATGGGGCCTGTCTGCTGAGGGTAGCTATGCTGGCTCAGTCAGCAGGGTTTACCACTCCAACTACAGTGGCCCTCAACCAAATCAGCAAATTCTCCAAACAGCACAGTGACTTCAGGAGCAGAGAGTGTGGTGGAGAACAGTCCACTCTTTGCAGCCAGCCAGACCTGATCTCTATGACCTTGGACGAGACATTTAACCTCTCTGAGTCTCTCTTTCCTCATCTGCCAAATGGGAAAATACCAAGATCTAAACATATGAACGTTGGGAGGATAAATGAGATGATGAATGTATAGCACTTCAAACAGTTGATTGATGTCAGTAAGAATTTGATAAATGGTAGTTATTACGTCCTCCAAGGGACAGTTTCTTCAACTAATTTCAATCCTTCTACCTATCTCTTCCAAAAATACCAATCTTTTAGGTGGAGGCCACTCTACCTATTCCCTCCCTCCCTCCTTTTTCTCCTTTCCTTCTTTTTAATGAAAACTGTTCACATGGAAGTCAACTCTCTAATCACAGTGATAGGTAGCATCAATTTACTGCTGTTTTCACAGAATGCTTTGTTGGCATGTTTAACCATAATCGTTCTTCTCCAGAATACTTCTTGTCTTTTCTTACGGTCTCAAATACAGAACCAAACAAGTCTTCTGCCGTTGGGAGCCACCTGGGCCAGAAGCAGCTTTGTGGATCAGCCCAAGTCTTCCTAGGGCTGGGCCTGCCAGCCCCATGCCTTTCTGTGGCCTTTGCCTGTGGCTTTCATTCTCTCCACTCCTCCGACTTTTCCTCTTCATTATATCACTTGAAGCTGACACCCTGATCTAGGCCTGAGGGCTTCCTTCTACCCTGTGAATTCTATCTCCTTTGAAATGTAAGAAGGGGCTCCTGGTGGTCTGTTACTAACTTTTTTATCTGGTTCCTCTTACCCAGGACAAATTTGACCTGTGATCAGAGACTCAAAAACATTTTCCCAAACTGCATGACTAACTTAGGTCAGCCACAAACTCCTATACTGAATTTTTTTTCTCTATTTCCTCTAGTTGAAGAGAGAACTTACAAAAATCCGTTTCTTTTCCTTCGAAGGTTGCAAAATTCATCAAATTTCTGCTAGACCAGTTTGTACTCCGTCTGCTCCTCTCGACTGAGTGAGAAACTGTTGTAAACATCTAAAGCCTCAGGCCCAGCAAATTAAGAATAAAGCTGCTTTCTGTTTTTTTTTGTTTTTTGTTTTTTTTTTTTCTGTCAATGCCTAGCAGATTTGGAACAAAACAGTGCTTTGGCCCTTTCCCGTTTCATTCATGATGGCATGTTACACAGTTCAGGTGGGTCTTTCACTTGTTCCATCCCACATGGCCCCATTCAAACCCCACTTCTCCACATGGCATCAGACAGGCTCAGGTGTAAATCCTGGCTCTGCTGCTTTCTAGCTGAATGTCTCTGGACAAGTCACTTCTCATCTTCTTTCCTCATTTGTAAAATGAGAATGATATTACTTATCTTGCAGGGCTGGCTGTGAGGATTAAACAAGATGATGCAAAACACACAGTAGGTGTTTAATCAATGGTAGCTATTCTTATTGCCACTATGGCATTCAGAGATTTCATTCTCCACTCCCCTCATCTCCCACATATGGTCTGTATACTGATTCCAGTCTTCAATGGCTGACTTTTTTCATGAGTGTGTACTAGTCTCCACTTAAATTCTTGGGGATGGAAACTGTGTCTTGTACTTCCCTACAACCTTGCTGGACTTAGAGTAGGCAATCTATAAATACTTGTTGAATTGAAAGTAAATATCTCATCCAAGGCAATATGGCTCTTCTATGAAGGTTCTATGCAAAGGGAAGCTTTACTAAGACCCAGACCCTACTAAACCATCAGCTGCAGCCTTTGCCTAGGGCTCCAAGCAGCCCCAATGGTCCATGCTAATTAGTCTCAAAAGAACAGCTCCATCACACAGTGATTGGTTGGCAAGTCTTCAATCACTCTCCATGAATTCCTTTGTAACACAGTGTACTCAGGAGCTCTGCTCTTTAAGATGAGTGGACATTGATGGGTAGGAGCCAGGGCCAGGGAAACACCCTGTGGGACACCTACCTGACCTCACAGATCGCACCACCACAGGCCTCTCACTGCCGGCCACGAAGCCAAAGCCATATATAGGGTCTCGGTGAATGGTCACTTGTCGCAGTGTCTCTGCTGGCAGCTGCTCACATTCCATATCATTTGTGCTCTCTTCCTGCATCACATTACTGGGAGAAGGGGAAGATGGGAGCAAAAAAAGATGCAAAGGCAACTAAGCCTCAGAACCAGCTGGGAGGGACACCAATTAGGGTGCTGGCCATGGCACCCGGGAGTTCACACACTTAGCTTCCTGCATCTTCTGCAATCAGCAGAAGTGATGACTGCCTCCTATTTCAGACTGGAGGAAAAGAGAAGCCACTTGTCTATAGGGCCAGAGCCAACAGAGTAAGCTGGTACCACAAAGCCTGACATTAGGGTTAGTCTTTTCCTCAAGATATTGAGACTCTAGAAGGAACCTAAATGCAAGTGTGTTATTTTGAAAGTTATTTGGTAGCACCCATTGAATTGGCTATTAGGTCCCTAAGAGAAATCAAAACCTTGAAGGAAGGAACTACAAAACAGGCAAGTAAATCGGGAAGAAATGTGAAGTTGTTTCCAAATGTGGAACACCTTCATGAAGTCCTTGTGCAACTTTAAACTTTAATATCCCTTAGGTCATATATAGCGATAAACTATTTAGATGACATATATAAACAAATGGGCTAATGTTGAGGGTCGTTGCTGTACACAACTGTACATAATGCCAGCTTATTTCAGTTAATGGGGCAACTGGAAAATGGCTCCTGTGGGCAAGAAGGGGAGTTGCCTCCTGTGGCTACCAGCAGACCTGAACCCCAGATGAACTCTGGGAGAAGAGAAACTGCTGCCCCAATACCTGGGAGAGATTACAGATGGCTCTTCTGATGCTCACAACTTATGTTACTGAAGCTTAGGAATTGCACAAGGACTTTATAAAGGTTTCACAGCAAGGACCAAGGTGAGGCATACTGCAGGCAAGGATGGACCTGAGCACAGTATTTGAGTGAAGAGCCCTGAGTGGTGAGGGCACTGGATGCCAGGGACAGGGAAGGAGGTAAAGAGGATAATAAATGGCTAATGGACAGGGTAGGACAGGTGGAAGTGGAAGAGAGGGCAACAGAACCAAGAGACCCAGAGTCTGAGCTCCCTGACTTGGCACTACTCTACCCTTTGGCTTCCTGGCCTAATACACAAGTTGAGTCCCCTAGCCTCAGTGTGTGTTTTCTTGAAAATTAAGGTTACAGGCAGAGCCCTTCTGAACATGATACAGAGGGTCAGGAACTAATTAATCAACCTACTATAAAGTTTGTAAAAGAAATGGGAGGTCTGACACTATGAGAATGATTGATGACTAGTTAAGAATACCAAATTCTTCAGCAGCAATTGGTTTCAGGCAATTAGGTCGTTTATCAGGACACAAATTCAGGAATTAGAGAAGAACTTTAGGACTATTTATGGGGGAAGATTTACAATAATTGTATAAAAGAGAAATTCATAGTCCTGGGCTTATCTCTCTCATAGAACTCGGGAAGAAAGACAGACCATGGCTGATTTGAATTCAACCACATCAACTCTAGCTGCACACAAGCTGGCTTGGGGTTTATCTGTCACCTCTTAAGGAAGCAAAAGGGGCTGCTAGGATAAGGTCAAGCCTCCTGAAGGTGAATTCAGAAACTGGTTCCTTCCCTCCCACATTGCTAAGACAAATGGTCACTTTTCAACAGAAAGTCACTCAGAAGCTGGAACATAGCTGGCCAATATCCTGGATAGGCACCCTCCCAGGACAGGGGTTCGGTGACAGTGGCCTCAGGCTTGCACTCACCTCTCTCATTTCTGCTCCTGGTGGCAAGCAGGAGCTCGGCCTTGAAGGGAGCCAGAGAACATCTTCCTGCAGCTGTCGTCTTTCCTTATCCCTGGGGCTGCTTCTGAAATGTGCCTTTTGCCTCCTGTTATCCTACCTTATTGACATGGAAAGGGCTTCTTGGCATGACACCGGCTCATTTCCAACATGGACACAAGTCAGGGCAGGTTGAAGGATGAGAGCCTGTGGGGCTGTGCAGACTGTGGCATAAGGAGCAGGGACACCAGCAAGTAAGATCCAGGCACATGTATGAGTGCTCTGTATACTGTCCTGAGCTCAGAGCCCCCTGGCCACTGCAGACTCAGTTTTGCCAAATTTTTCTTTTTCTGGATCTGGGGACACTTCGGTCATCAATTGGTCTTTAGGTACCACCAGTGTTGATGAGAGACAAGCTAAGAGCCTTTTGTGACGCAAGTGTTCTGCTTTACTGTTTTGACTCATGTTTATCCATCAACAAGTATTTATTGAATGCCTACTCAGAGTCAGGGTTCCAGGGGACATAAGAGAAGTTACCAAACTCTGCCATCAAAGAGCTTCTAGTCTAGTGGTGGGGCAAGAGACAAGTGTACACTGAACAAGGAAATTAGAGTGGTAACTGAGAATAATATATGAAGTCCATCATTAAGGTCCAAGTTGTGTGTTCAGAGAAGGAGCTGGAGGAACTGGAGAGAGCTCATGGAACAGGCAGGGCATGATGAAAAGAGAGACAAGAAGCCAAGCTCTGCGCATGGGCAGCCCCCATCTTCCCACAGGGGACCCAGTTATTTTTCTCACAGCCATAGACATGTCTCCAGGTATGACTGGAGCATATTCATCCCTGGATTGTTCCCGAGTTAGACAAACTGTCCCTAACTAGATCCTCCCCAAATTCTGCAAGCAGCCCTTTCCTCATGCTACCTAGGCTTTCCGACGAATCTGTGGTCAGAAAAGAAACACCTCCATTAATAGACCAGAAGGCCATTTTACAGTTCAAAAGGAAATTGTCCCTTTCGTCCTGGGGTTTGTATCTTTCTGTGTCTACAGCTCAGTTCCTCTGAAATCTGCTAAGTGTCTGAAGACTTGGGAATGACACTGAAGGCAAGAAGTGATGGATGACAGGAGCTCAGCCTTCAATGGGTCATGTGACTTCCCTCCTGGGGAAAACAGGCAATTTGGCTTTGAAAGATGTTTGGCTTCTGGTCTCTTCAAACAAGGCAACCCTGAACAAAATTAAGAAGCAGCCAAAACTTATGGTCCCCCCAACCCGGCTCAGTATTGTTTCTGGGAACTGCTATTTTCTTCTGTTGTTTGTCCCAAAGTACACAATGTCTTCACTCTGTCCCCTTCTTACTGAAGGCCCCCAAAGGTATCCCCTCACCGTGTACCAGGCTTGCCCCTCTGGTCAGTGACCAGGGTAAAAGACTAGTTTTTTTCTTTTGCCTAACGATAACAACACCTATAGCCATGTGGTTCTTTTCATTTTAACACCCATTATCTCAACTGAGAAAAGGTGCTTTCACATCCATTATCTTCTCACAATCTCTAATTGTCCTGCTCCTACTCCATCCCAGCTCCCAAGGTAGGCAGGAAGAAATGACTCAAAGAGGTGAAACACATTAGCAGCCCAGTTGGAGCCAAATCTATCTGACAAAGAGCCCACAATCCTGGCACCCCCACCTACACTCACCCATTCAGGGGCCTGGGCCCTCTGGTTATTGAGTCTCCATCACAGGGCTGGCCCAACCCTGTGGCCATCAGCATTCTGAGTCCCGGCCAGGCCTGGATGACCAGCCCACATCCTAATAAACCTGTTTCCGATCTTGTTCACTCAAGAGTTGTTGGAAGAATAAAATGAGATCATAGCTACAGAAGCACTTTGGAAGGTTAGATATATCATGCAGATGCAGACGTAGTAATATTATTGGTAGCATTTTGGGGGAAGCCGGAGAGGCAGAGAAAGACAGCTGAAGATAAACTTCACCCGCTTCACACAACCCAGGCCCTTCCTCCATCAACTCCTTGCCTTTAAGAGGCCGACCCACAATGTACTCTGTACCCTTGTTTTCTCTGACCCAACTATCAGTCGACCTTGCTCTCTGTGGAAACCCTGACTCCAGTTCCTCTGTAGCTAAACTGATTCCCGCCCCCTAGATGTCCAAAGAGGGTCTGGTAACCGGAGCTTATGCTGACAACCGTTGCTAGGCAGGACATGGCTAGAAGACAAGTGAACTGAGAAGATGGATTGATTCTAAGCTAATGCTCTCTCTCTTGCACTTTAGGGCAGGAAGATAGAAATAGTAACAGCTTAGATTCTCAGGCATCAGCTTTCAGTTCGCCATCCCTCCTTGCCTTTGGCTCTTTTCTTTTTACATTTGGTTGGCTACTTGGGGAGTCTTGTTGCTCCTTGGGGAGTCTTGTTACTCCCCTCACAACTGGCAGGATTCGGAGCCATGTGGGGCCAGTTAGTCCTCTAATTCCAATCACAAGAGTCTGATTCTCCCAGAAGCTCCAAGGATCCAGCATGGCAGCTGGATCCCCAGGAGATGCCATCTTCTCCTGATGGCAGGGATGGGAGCCCCATCCCCAGGGCTCTGAACTAGGTGTTCTGGGAGCCATCTTATAAGGAGCTTGAACACAAACCCTTCCTCCTGTGAAGGAGCCCTCGCTTCTGCTGCTCAAACTTGAATGTGCATACAAATTACCAGGGGGTATTGCTAGAATGATTCTGATACAGTAGGTCTGGAGTAAGGTCTGAGATTCTAACAAATTCCAGGGTGGTGCCCATGCTGTTGTTCCACAGACAATACTAAGAGAAACAAGCACTTAAAAGAACACTATCCTCAGACAATGAGAGGGCTACCGTCAGGTAAGAGGACTGAGACACTTTTATTCTGTTGGGTTAGGGCATTGTAGGTCCCATTAAAATGCAAATGCTATCTTGGAGAAAGGACACAAATTCATGCAGAGGGCATACTGGGTGAATCAGATTTAACCCAGGAGAGAATATGGAGGGCTCTAAACGGATATCAAATAAGACAGGTAAGGTTGCATTAGGGAAAAAGAGAGAAAGATCTGGAAGATGGGGCACTCCTTAGCCCTCCTGAAAAGTTTGGTCAGTAAAAAGACAGCCTGAGGACTCACAACTTCTGAGAGGAAGGCAAGGAAGATGCTGAAAGAGAAGATGTTGCAGAAAACAATAGCTGCTATTTCTCGAAGACTCACTAAAATGAGGGCCTCCCCAGTACTGTATGTTAGACCAGCCTCCTTTGAGGCACCATACCAGAGGACACATATTGGAGACCCCAGC